ATGATAAAATGACATATTGAAACTACCAATATCTGAGAAGTGGTGGAATGCTGCTCTGGGACTCATATGGCTTTAATGGCTCAGAACACTTTTTACCACTTTTATCTAGCTTGCCAGCTGTGGCCTCTCCTGAATAGATATATCCTGGCTACAATGATCCATGTACTGTGAACCTCCAGGCTGGATTACTATAATGTGCTATAAACAGGCCCATCCTTGAAAATGACTCAGAAGATTGAACTAGTGCAGAATATGGTTCCTTGACTTCTGGGTGACTTAGTTAGATGGCACCATCTTACATCTGCAGGAGCTACATTAGCTGCCTTGTTACTGATGAGCTCAATTCAAGGTGACAGTGCTTACCTTTAATACTCTGATGGCTTGGAGCCCAAATATCTGAAGGAATAACTCTTCCCTTATCAATCACCTTCCGCCTTAAGATCTTCAAAAGAGATGGTTGTCTGTGTGTCTTCTATAATAGATGTGAATGTATCATCTTGAAAAGCAACAGTCTTTATGGTGGCATTCCAGGTTTGGAAGGCCCTCATGCAGTTTACTTACTGCTGACACTGTATTCTTTCAGTGGCAAGTCAAAATTGTTCTATTTATACAGGCAATTTTTATTTTTATTTTTATTTATATATTTAAACATCAATTTTTTGTATTTTGAAGCCTCAGGTGTAGGCTTTATGTAATTTTACTGTTGTTTTTTTAATGATGTATACTGGCCTGAAATCTCCCCTGGGATAAATTGTGATGTACACAATTTTAAAATAACTAAATAAATCCCATGGCTCTTGGCTGAGGGATGAGGGAAATGCGTTAGCGACTGACAGGCAGCAGTCATCTTTGAATGCTTTCAGTAGCTCATAACATTACAGATCTTAATAGGTGCTGCCTGTCTATGCAAGATACATCTCTGGTTCTCATTAACTGCTGCATTTGGCAGCTTGTCAATTTTTAATGTATTTATCCTCCTGGCGCTCCTTTGAAATGTATCTAGTTGTAGAGGCATGGACCTGACTGGATGCACACATTTCTGATCCCTGCTCCAGTTCTCCTGTTCTGAGAAGTGTGGCTCCTGCTTGAAACCCCACACATAGCTGCCCCCTGCCCCACCCCTGCTACCCCACCCCGTACTTCTGCTGTCCAGTGACAAACCCAGGTGAGACATTTTCCTGAAAATTGGCAACAAGGGGGAAAAGACAGATTTTGTTGAAGTGTGTATGTAATGGGACTCCAGATATTTATTTCTGCTTTAAATGAATCATCATTGTAGGGAAGCTGCAATTTTGAGCAAAGAGTTTAGGGAGCAGGGCACTTAATGTTTTTCCTGTTGGCCATTTTGTTTTTTGTTTTATGTTCTGAAGGGTCCCTCCTGCTCAACTGCTTTCCCCCTTCCTAAGTTCCAGATGTGCATTTGATATGGAATTTGTTTAAAACTCCATGGGGTTGGGTTGGTCTGGCTTCCCACAAGAGCTTGGAAAAGTTATTTTTGTGAACGACAGTGCAACAGCTTCTTCAACTGGCATGACTGTTGATCATGTTGATTAGGAGACTGTGGGAGATGAAACTTTGAGGAAAAAAGTTTCCTAGTTCTTTGAGCAACCTGGGAGCCTTGTTTTAGCCAACAGGCTGGGAAACAAGGAGAGACCTAAGATCACCAGTTCTCTGTCTGCTCCTTAGATCAATATCACTATCTTCCAAGTCATCATCATCATCATCATCATCATCATTGTATTCTTGAAGGCTGGGATCCGATGGTTGTTGTAGGTTTTTCAGGCTGTTTGGATGTGTTCTGGAGGTTTTTCTTCCTGATGTTTTGCCAGTCTCTGTGGCTGGCATCTTCAGAGGAGAGGAGTTAGAACTCTGTAATTTCTCAGGTGTCAAAATTTCATCAAAATTTCTCAGGTGTAATGGTTCATTTTTCCAGCTGTTTAATTTGTTTTCAAATTGTAGTTTCTTATATTGAGCCTTTGTTTTTGTTGTTTTCAAAATATTCTCCATTTTCACTACCTTAAGTAATTTTTCTCTGCTTCTACTGATATACAGTGGACCCTCTACAGTACTTATGGAATTAATCCGTATTGGAATAGTGGTTGCAGGCCGAAAAGTCTGTAGGTCGAGGCTCCATTGACCTACAATGCATTGAAAACCGATTAATCTGTAACTGGCCGTTTTTGTTCCGTTTTTGTTCCATTTCGTTTTTTTTCTGGTCTGTAGGTCGATTCTCTGGCTGTAAGTCAGACCTAAATTTTGCAGCCAGAGAAGTCTGTAACTCGAAAAGTCTATAAGTCGAGCCATCTGTAAGTCGAGGGTCCACTGTAATCATTTAGTCTTCTCTACTACCTGCTGTAATCCGCGGCCTCCGATTTTTTGTGGTAAATATGATCTGTCCGCATCACTTTTTGGATTAGTGTATGATGCCTGTTCATTAGTTTCCGTTTTTTCATCCAATTTTTCTAATTCTTTCTGAGTCCAATCTATTATTCGAGCTGGGTATCTAATTACTGGAATAGCCCATGTGTTTATCGCTTTGATGGGGTTTCCATCACTTAATTTTGATTTTTAAAAATTCCGCAGTCTTTTAATATATTCCCTTTCTGTCAGTTCTTTAACTTTTGTGTGAAGGATATTATCTACTTCTAGTATTCCAAGGTACAGTATTTATAATTTTCATCACTTGATAGTGATTTTATAATATTTCCATTTTATACATCTATTCCATCTAATTTTTCGATCTTGCCACAGTATATAGACAGAGCTGCACATTTGTCAGTTTCACATTTCATTTGGATTCCTTCACTAAATATTTGCATTGTGTTTAGCAGTGATTCCATCTCTGTGGAACTTTTTGCATACAGTTTTAGGTCATCCATGTATAATAGATGTTTGATTTTTCCAGATTGTTGAGAAACATGGTAGCCCAATCCAGTTTTATTTAAAATGATTGACAAGGGGATTAGTGAGATGTTAGACAGCAGTGGTGACAAACAATCGCCCTGAAATATTCCTATTTTGATGTTAACTTCCCCAGCTTCTTCACCATGGGCCATTAAGACACTTTTTCATTTTTCCATGTTTTTCTTGAGGAACTTCTGAATGTTTTTACTAATCCCCCCCCCCAAAAATTAAGCAGGTGTTAATTCACCTGTGTGGCAATGAGTCAAATGCCTTTTTATAGTCTATCCAGGCCATGTTAAGATTTGTTTTTAATCTTGCATTCTTTAGTATCATTTTATCAATAAGCAGCTGATCTTTTGTGTCCCTTGACTTTTTAAAGTTCCCTTTCTGTTCAGTTGAGCATAGGGAGTTTTTGGTTAAGTAGTTATATGTTGATCTTGTAAGTATTCCTGTAAGGAGCTTGAACATTGTTGGAAAGCATGTAATTACTGGGTTCATTGTCCTTTTGATTATCAGAAATATGTGGCCTGTTCTTGACCAATCTTCAGTTGTAGAATTTTGAAGTGATTAAATTGCACTGCTATACGTTGATGGAGACTTGTTAAATGCTTTAACCAAAATTCATGCAACTCATCTGGACCAGGTGCACTCCAATTTTTCACAGCCTTTATTTCCATCTTAATCAGTTCAGTTGTTATTACAATATCAATTTGTTTTCCTTGAGTTTCTCTACAAATGCCTTTAATCCACAAGGCGTTTTTGTTATGTCCAGTTGTGTTTTCCCAAAATTCTTTCCAAAATTTTACAGCATCATCTTTCCATGGGCCTAATTGCTTTTGCTCTGGATTTTCTCCTAGTGATGTATGGAATAATCGTTGGTTATTTTGAAATTGTGTTTTTTCTCTATATTGTTTCAAGCATCCATCATATCTTTCAATTTTCTTTGCTGTAGCTGTTACCCGCTGTTTTATTTCTTCCATAGTTTCAACAATTGTTTTCCTTTCTAGGTGATATATTTTGCACAATCTGGCTTTTACTTTTTCATTTTTTTAATCTTTCAAGTGTTTTAAGCTGCTAATGTCTGTACGTAATTTGTTTATTTTTCTTTCCAGCCAAATTTTCCATTTTGGAGTGCCAGGAGTTTTTTGGGTTTTTGCAACTTGGTTCCATTATTTTTATGGTAGCTGTACTAAACATGAGCTGGTTGGAATTGTTCTGATCACTACATTTGCATCGTTCAGTAAATCTTTTACTGGTTCACTTCGTAATTGGCACAAATTGGGACACATTTATCTCTCTGTGTTCTCGCTAATATGGGTTACTATTTTTTCCCTCAGTGATATCTGCCGTTCCATAAATTGTTCCTCTATACATTTTCTTCCTCTATTGTGTCTACCTCTACCCTGCATTTGGCTTCCATACTACAGTATGGTCATTGTTCTGTGTTGGTTTTTCTTTTGCCACCTTTTCTAGTTCTTTCAGTTTCAGTTCTGAAAATATTTTACTCCGGATGATAAACCTTCTCTGGTCCATTAATCATTGTTCAGTTACATCACTGCTTGGGTGTTTCCTTTTCCAAATTTTCATCATTCTTTTTTGAAAACCATGGGCTGTTGGGTTTGCCTCATAAAAACATTTCATTATATCTCAGTTTTCAAAGGGAGTCCCAAGTTTTGCGGTTACATCATTCCAGTAGCTTTGCAGCAGCCTGTCCTGGTTCCTCAGCAGTGTCCGCTGAGCCCTGTAGCTGATTTGTCACTAGATGCCCAGGGGCTATAGCATCCAACCTGGTCCTTGTTGACCCAGAGGATGACCAACCCGATACAGATTTCTGTTTATTTCCTCTCATCATCATTGATGGTTGGTCTGGCTTCTCAGATGAGGCCTCTCTGGCTTGGGAAACCCTTCAGCATAGCTCTCAACCTCACTGAAGCACACAAGCCCCTCTGCTTCAACAAGGCCTGTGCCCATGAAGGAGATGATGATGATGATGATTAAAGTGGTGCTCCACGTTGAGTTAAGTTTACGTCTGGCCCACCATAGCAAACATTTCTGTTTTCTTACAACACATAATATATTTCTTTTTTTCTTTCCAGAATTAAATGTAAAGGAGTCAGATGTGAGAGTATGTGATGAATCAACATGTAAATATGGGGGTGTTTGTAAAGAAGAAGGAGATAGTTTGAAGTGTGCATGCCAATTTCAGGTAAGGCTTTTATGCATTTCCTATCCATTGAAATAACCTAAAAGATGTATCATTGAGTTTGACTCATGTAAACATTTACCTGAACTGATACTGTATGTTCTTTGAAAGCTAAATAGACACATAAGATGGATACAGACATAAACGGCCCTAATTGCCGTCACAACGTATCCTTTGCCTGTTGTAAGAACTTGGCTTTGCAATTTGTTTTGGAGACATACACACCATATAAATTGCATCAGCTTTGAATCTTAATCCTCTGCTAGAACTTCAAATGTTTTTCCTTTTTAATCTCTTTCCATTAGGGAATGTATATGCATTGATTTGCACAGTGCAGCCATACTTTAATGTCTCCCACTTCTCCAAATAACACCAGAATTTGGAAGAATGTTGGTTAGAGATGGGATATTCGTATTCATCTCCCAAGGGAAACAAATACAAATATCACCACTATTGATAGCCGGGCCCTTTGGACCCTCTCCCCTGAACGGGCTGGTCCATTTACCACTTCCAGGGGCCTCCTGTGGCTGTTGTCATTTGCACTGCATTGATCACAGAAGTAGACCAGCTGGTGCTCCCCTGCCTCCCTGCACTGCCAACCACTCTGGTGAGAAGGTGGGATGACGAGTCTCCCTCTTAGCTGTTGAGTGGTCAGCAGCACAGGGAGCTGGGGAACAGCAGCATGGCATAAACAACACTCACACATGCCACGCTGCAAGTGGCAATTGTACTGGCTGGTTCTGGGGTGGCTCCAAAAGGCCATCCACCTGTGGTGACAGTATTCGTATTCATCTGCCTTGGGCAACAAATCTGTATCTAATTTTTGGTAATAGGCACTTAGTTTTTCACAATATACCATGAATTTGCAGAATTATTTCTAGAGTTTGTTTCTCTACATTGGGTTCCTTTCCATAAGAGAGAAGTAGCTTTTTGACTTTATTATCTCAGGAATAACTTGTTTAGAACTTCATGTATTTTCAATATCCTTTCCAATATTAAAAACCAATTCCATTCAGCTGAATTGCAACCTGCAAAATATTTGCACTGTTCCAGGTGCCATCTTTCTTTACACTAGAAATCTGAAAACACCAATAACTTGAGGATCTCTGTATCACTGCAGCTGTTATAACTGTGTTGGCCAGAGATTGGTTTTTTTTGCAGCTGAATGGAAAAGGTCTCTGAGAAGAAGCCACAAGCCGCAAAACTGAACTCTCTGATCATACCTTAGCTGCCCCAGCTCAATATCTGTTTGCAGATGATTTTATAAATGGTCTTCCTTCCTTCCTTCCTTCCTTCCTTCATTCCTTCCTTCCTTCCTTCCTTCCTTCCTATTTTTTCCAGTGTCACACAAATTATATTCCTGTTTGTGGTTCGAATGGAGATACATACCAAAATGAATGCTTCCTCAGGAGAGCTGCTTGCAAGCATCAGAAAGAGATAACCGTCGTTGCTAGAGGCCCTTGTTACTCTGGTGAGTAAATGGCAACAACCTATCTGATTTCTTTCATCAGTTCTTCCTTTTTGGGAACCCCTGCGTATCTGCACACACACAGTCCCTCATTTTCTAGGTTATGTCCTGGAAACATGTGCCAGTCACATATCCTTATTTTGTGGCCATTTGAGAATAGAGATGGAGTATTTGTATACCTGGGAGCCATGAGTAGGATAAATATTATTTTTGAGACCAGCTGGGGTCACCTACTCAGAACAAAGAGATCATATGAAGGGTGACATAGGGAGGCCCCCCTGCACCAGATAAATGCAACCCAAGGGAGGTATGGTTCATAGAACATCATTCAATATAGTACAAGTAGATTTGTTTAGTAGCCCAAAGAGCCTTACTTAGATTTTAGCTTCCCACACAGATCCATCACATTTCTTGTTCATTAAATAATAAATCTGGCACCAGATAAATTCATTCTCTGGGCCTCTTTGACTTCTTCTTGAGCTGCAATACACACCTAGGCAAAAGATTTGTATTTTCAAATGTGGGTTGCCATTGATTAGCTTGAAAGCAGGTATAGAGGTAGCATTTCCAAGGCCAACAAGGTAGGCGGCAAGAGGGGGGCAAACCATTCCCTTGTTAGCTTCTTTAGTTTCTTCATCTCTGTTTCTTGGTGGGAAAGGGGATTTTTTCTTAATTAAACAAGGTTCTTACCCAGCAAAGAAAAAAGTGGCTAGAGATATTGGTTTTTTTTTTTTAAATGAAAATCCTGTCTCCAAGTAGATTAAATGGGCCTCTCCTGCAACAAAAATTGCTTCCAAACTAGTATCTCACTCTTTCTGGCCCTACTTTTTGTGTGTGTTGTTTTGTCTCTATTGGATACATTGATGGACACCATCTTCCTTCCCTTCAACAAGGCTCCATGACTAAAACAATGCATTGACTGCTTAGGCTTGCTCACATTCCCTTTACATTTTTGTTAGTAGTGTTTTAGTAAAGGAAAATTCATTCTTCTTAGTATTTCTTCATTGGTCACACTCTTATCCAAGAAACTCTTAGCCTCCTGCAATAATCCAGATTTTAGATGCTTTATTTTTATATACAGTGGTGCCTCGCTTAACGGCGATAATCCGTTCCAGGAAAATCACCATTAAGTGAAAACACCGTAAAGCAAAAATAAAAAGCCCATTGAAACACATTGAAAACCTTTCAATGCGTTCCAATGGGCTTAAAACTCACCGTCCAGCGAAGATCCTCCATACGGCGGCAATTTTCGCTGCCTGTATGGCGAGGAATTCGTCCCTAAACACAGCAGGGAGCCATTTTATTTACCCGGTGGCCATTTTGAAACCGCCGATCAGCTGTTTAAAAATCATCGTTTTGCGAAGAATCAGTTCCCGAAGCAGGGAACTGATCATCGCAAAGCAAAATTCCCCCATTTAGACCATCGTTCTGCGATCGCTATTGTGATTGCAAAAAGATAGTCGTAAAGCAGATTCGTCGTAATGTGGTGCAATCGTAAAGCGAGGCACCACTGTATATAGTTGTCTGTGTTAAAGTCAATAATTCCATGCCATATCGTTGAACTAGGAATATTTAGCACCATACATTACATGTTCTGAAAACCAACTTTAAATTTCTGTTGCATATCATATTCTCCATCTTTTAAAAAGCTACTAAAAGCCATCTCAGGAAAACCAACTTTAAATTTCTGTTGCATATTCTCCATCTTTAAAAAGCTACTAAAAGCCATCTCACCTCTGTCCTTTATTACATGGCTATGCTCCTGCTGTTCATTCAAGCAAATTCTTAAATATTTATAATTGTAAAACCTCTTCTCTCTTTCATTTTGAATGTTTAGCTGCATTTATTGGATTGCTTACTTTTTTACTGATGACAAACTTGAACCCGTGTTGCTTACTTTTTACTAATGGTTGTGAACTTGGCTTTCTTAGCATTCATTTTAGCACTGTGTTAATTACTTACTTCATTACCTTTATCAAGTAACCTTTGCATGTCATAAAAAATGCCAGCTACTAGTGCTGCAGCATCTGTATAATGTATGTTGCTGACAACTATTAATTCAGAAATATGTAGAGCATAATAAATGTTTTAAAAATCAGAATGATGAATCTAAAATTTAAAAGCAGCTAAACATGCTCCAGTAATGAACCAATGTTTGGTGTAACTGTATACATCCCTTCTCAGAAGTCTCATAGATTTAAATAGGATTTCCTCTGAAGTGACTAGAAGTAGGATATCTGCTCAGAATGTCAGAGTAAAAAATACAAGACACCAAAGATGACTCTGATTTTCCTTAAAATATAAATTTTGTTTAAAAGCTTCCTTTCAACCCTTTTTAATGGGAATATATCTTTCAGTTCTACCCAAAGCTTTCAGAATCAGTTTTCTGTGCTTTAGATCTATTGTAATAATTTAAAAGTAAATTAATCTGTGTTATTAAAATCCTATGCTATCTACTGTAGTTCCTTCAGAATTCTTAATTACTAACTATTGTGACTTCCAGTGTAGAGCTATGACCAAGTAGGCTTCAATCAGCACATTTGTTCTTAATTTGTTTTCCTTCAATAGTTTACCTTAAACCCGAAGAGGAGATTCTGTTGATAGTTTACATAATATTGGTCAAAATCCTGTTACTTAGCCTAGTAAATTGCAAGTAGAGTAAGCCCATTGAATCAGTGGAATTTATAAAAGAGTTGACTCAACAAATCCCCACTGATTAAATGGGCCTATTCTAGTTATGATTTACTATAGTAAGCAACAGGATTTCACCCATTATCTGCCTTACAATGTAAGATACATCTGTCCAGTACTTTTTAATTTCTCTCCAACCTGCTGAAAATCAATTCTACTCTTCTTATATCTCCAGCACAATGCCAGCCTTTGAGGGATGTAATAGCATTAAATACAAGGTCTTCTAAAATTGTGCGTTGCCTGTCAAGTCTATTAAGTAACTGATTCAAATGTGCAGATATGGTTCCAGTGCAACTCAGAAATATTGATATAGCATTAGAGAAGTACAGCAATAATATGTTTAATCTCTGATTTTAAAAAAATGTTTGTAAGTTACATTGCTGGTACTTCAGCAACTATTGATTAGCCTTATTAAAGGTTTTTATATTGTTCCTGTGAAGAAAATGTTTCCTCATTATATTTCAGTGAAGGATGGATCTAATATATCTTTTGGATGCTTTTGTAGTTTCTCAATCAATTACGCTACTGTTTTATAATAATAAGCTGAAGGTTATGATTTTCTCTGGAAGTAGATCTATTTAGGTCAGGTTGGGCCACTTTGGCCCTCTAGATATTCCTGGTCTACAGCTCTTATCTGTTCTAGGTAGTTTTTAGCCAATGGTGAGAGCTGCAATTCAGTTACATATGGTGGTTCGCAGTTTCCCACCCCTCTTTCAATTGGACATTAAATCGTAATCTAGCAGGTCTCATCTTGTAAATGTTTGAATATCTGTTTTAAATTTTCTCTTTGTTGGGCCTTGGGAAGCATAGTGAAGGCTATAGCAAAGAACACAGCTTTAGCAGTCATCAACTTTCATTATATTAATAGGATTCATACCTACACTCAATACTGTTTTATTAAGGTCAAAGTTGTTTGGGGTTGCAGTCTGACTTAAAGGTATTGGACCACTTGAAGTAGCTGTACACAGTTGACCTTCCTGCAGTGTAATCTTGATTTTCTTGAGTGTCTTGGACCCCAGATCTTTATTGGGAGGTGAACCTCTAAAATTTGTGGAAGATCTGTTCCCTTATATGGTTTGATATTTGTGAATTACAGCCAAGCTTATGCCTACTAAAACATGGAAGAGAAGTAGAGCTCTATCTGTTGAGTGGTAGCACATTGCAGAGATGGCAAAAAATTGAGAGGATTTATACAGAGGAGATACCATCTGAATATTAATAGATATAATCTATTAATAGATATAAGCCAGTAGTAAGTCACCACTTGAGTAGGCCCATTGAATCAGTGGAGATTTGAGAGTTAACTCCTCCATAAATTTCATTAATTTAATGGGCTACTCTACAGTTGGCTTCCTACTGGATTTCAGCCGCTGTGTGTTTAATTTTATATGAAGTGCAATAAATGCACATGACTTTTCATGTGAAGTTTGTCTCGATTTGTGTGTTTATACCACACTGATCTTGATTTTTTTAATTTAAATTTTTATTATAATTATACATAGCCCACCAAACTTTGGCTGGATTTAATTCCTTGAATATCAGGTAATTCTCAAGGACCTTGCATATTCAAGGTATTTCCTTAAAAGTATGCCCTGTTCCATCATTATCATCATTATCAACAATAACATCATTTGTTATTGTATTTTGTTTTGATTAGTTGTTACACTATTATTAATATATGAATAATAAAATTTGTTTCTAAAAACTGGCCTTTTTGGCTTATAAACATGAACTATAAACATGATTCTGAAAGTAAAGTGGCAAAACATTTAGAAATCTTAAATCTTCCTAAATATAGACCTCCTTTGACATTCACTAGGCTTTGCTACTGATGCCAGGGAGATTTTACAGCTTTCTTTTTCTGCATGTTTATGTCCTGGGACTGGAGAGGATGAGTTTGTGCAATATGGTCTCATAATACTATCTCTCTTCTATGAAAATCAGATGTAAATTACTTTAAGAAAATCTTTGAATGAGCTAATTGGCTGTTTTATTTCTGTAAATAACAGATGCTGCATTGAATTTTTTTTTTAACCATAGTACATTTGTTAAGTCTAACGAGAACAAGGATGGATAATGTTGATTTAATGTTTTAAAATTGGTTTTAGTTTTATTTATGCTGGTCTGCGGCTATAATAAATCTTAGGCCTGCATGAATAGCATTTTAGCCATCTATGCTTAATTCCACTTTCAATCTCTTGTGCGTAAGGTAACTGTTAATATATTATTGACCACAATTCCTTTTGGGATAAAAAAATAAATCAATGTGCTTTGTGATCTGTACTGCTATTGCAATAAAAAGGTAGGCCATA